GGATACTTGCTTTGCTTTGAAAAGAAAGAAAATAAATCCTGCATATTTCAATCGCCGCAAATGTAGACCTAGAAATTTTCTGTTCCAACCCATGGGCAGTGTGTCTGGTTAACTCTTTGCACAGTGGAGGATCTTCACTTTCACCCAGATGCTCCCTTTGTATATAAGAGCCACACAGAGGCATGTCACGAGCTGTCATGTTGGCCTTGATGTAGCAGTGACAGGAGCTGGTTCAAGGTCCCAAAAGGCCCGCACTGGACGTAAGGGTAATGGCCAATCTGATGGCAGGCTGTGCAGTGACGTGTTGGTGGCACTGTGTGCGATTTTTGCTTTTTGTTGGCAGCTGGTGGAGGAGTCCTGCGTAATGTATCAGTCACTTCCACTGACAGGACTGCCATGTTAGTGCATCAATCATCGCCCGAGTCCAGGACATGGACACCAGCCCAGGAATGATGTGTTCATATTACAAGTGTGAGGATATGTGTGTGTTTAACTTTCATTTACAGCCTTCTGTCCTCATATGAGCTTAAGAGCTGTGTGGGTCCGTTAGTAACAAGGCCAGTGGGTGACAGCATTAAGGGTGTATAAACTGAGGTTCAGGTAGATAACGTGACTGATGGTACACCCTGCACATAGCTTACCCCATCACACAGCTGTCACAAAAGCTGTTCAGCAGCCATTAGTTGCTGCTAGAGAGTCGGTGTCTCAATAAAGGACAGACTGATGATCTGGGTACTGAGCAATCAAGCCTTTGATTGGTTAACGGCTTCATTTAACACATGCCTGCCACAAAAGTCCGGGTCAAATGTCAACAAGATTTTTAAATGAGACACGAGATGCTTAAAGGTGTAGCGTGTGCTGTAATAAATAAACCACATGGAGCCACATTTACTCGCCAGTAGCTGTGCTCCAAGTCAAAGGTCAAAGTTGTGAGTTTCTTCAAAAGGTGGGAAGCTCCCTACATGTTAGGGGGGTCTCTGCTACATGCAGAGTAGTACAAACATCTTAGAAGAAGAAGAAGAAGAAGAAGAAGAAAATATAATTTCTACAGCGCCTCTCAAGATAAAAATCACGAGGCGCTTCACAAAAACAAAAAAAAATTTAAAATATAAAAAAGCATTTAGAAAATGTTTAAAAATATATTTAAAATGAGCAAAAATAGGCAATTGTGATTTAAAAGAAAAAATGTTAAGAAAGAGAGAGAGTGAACAGGAAAGAGGGAAATCAGTGGACCCTGAGGAAGGTGGAATAGGTGGGGAGAGCAGAATAAAGAGAGGGTGGTGAAGAAGGTCATACAAAAGCCAGCTTGAAGAAGTGAGTCTTCAGCTGCTTTTTAAAGGAGACCACTGAGTCCACTGATCTCAGGCTCAGGGGGAGAGAGGTCCAGAGTCTGGGGTCCTCAGCAGCAAATGATCTGTTACCTTTGGTCTTTAGCCTGGTGCTGCACAACCAGTAGGCTTTGATCACTGGACCTCAGGGACCTGCTGGGGGTGTAGGGACTAAGAAGATCACCAATGTAAGATGGTGCTTGTCCATGTAAGGCCCTACAGACCAGAACCAGGATCTTGAAATGAACCCTGAAGTTGTCTGGCAGCCAGTGAAGCTGGAGGAGAAGCGGGGTGATGTGGGTGTGTTTGGAGGACTTGGTCAGAAGCCGAGCACAGGCATTCTGAACCACCTGTAGACGGTTCAGGGAGGCTCTGCTCAGACAGAACTCAGACTTCAGTGTTTGTTCAAGAGTGGTAGAAAGAATCAATAACAAGGGCAGTGCTGCATCTCAGGCAATGCTCAGTCTCAAGCTCTCCACAGTAACAACAAATGAATCCGCTCTAAAGAATGAGATAGTTCATTAAAGAAGGGTCAAAGATTGAGTCACTGTCCCTAATCATCCGATGGAGTCACCTGAGCTGGCTTGAGGAGGTAGATTCCACTGAGAAGTTAGCCCAAGAGACCCAGGTCTTGGTGGAGCATTCGTAGAATTTTTGACCTTTATCTATGGAGGCTCCCAGCTCTTTCTCTCCATTTCTTGGGTCATTTCTAGACAGTGCAAGTCCGAGCTTAATAGTAGCTGACTAATTTATCTAATTCCGTGATGATGAGCCATTTAGACTGTGTTTGATTTATGTTGTCCTAGTCTGACAACATAAATAGAACAAATAAATGAGAAATTTCCTTTACTACACTGATCCACCCATATTTATAATTTATTCTGAGAAAGCCTTTTTGATGTCTATCCATCTGTTTTCACCTGCTTACTCAGGGTTGGGTCGCGGGGCAGAGAGGCCCAGACTTCCTGTCCCCAGCCGTTTGGGCCAGATCCTACGAGGGGATCCCAAGGTGTTCCCTGGCCCTCTGTAAGACCTAGTCCCTCCAGCGTGTCCTAGATCTTCCTTTAGGTCTTCTCCTAGTTGGACACGCTTGGAAAACCTCACCAGGAGTTATCTTAACCAGATGACCGAGCCACCCCAACTTGCTCTTCTCAATGTGGATCTACTCTGAGCCCCTCCCAGATGACCGAGCTTCTCACCCTATCTCTAAATGATAATAGAGAAAACTCATTTTGGCCACTTGTTTCCGCAATCTTACTCTTTTGGTCACTACCCAAAGCTTGAGACTTGACCTCAGTGTTTGAGTAACAATAGAAGAAGATGAGAAATGTGTGTGTCCAAATCCACATATGTGATCATCTATGAAACCGTAGTCCAATAAAAAATGTTGGTGAGTTGCAAAAGTGAGCATACATCAGTCACTGACTGGAGACACAAGAGCTGGCCTACATTCCTCCGCTAGTGAGACATTTAATCCACCTGCGTGATCGCCAGTTACAGCAAATGCTGTTATAAGAAGGAGGAGATCCCATAAAAGATTAGGTGGAATTATACTGCTAATGTGCTGAATCACAATAAGTAAGGCAGTGTTTGAAACCTTTAAATGATGTTCTATGTGATTCTCTACAAACGACCTCCTGGGGTTGGGAGCGTTGCCTGGCCAGCATTCCAAAGTGGCTGTAAATTCTGTGTGATGGTGGAAATTAATGAGATTAAGATTATTAATATCCACAAACGTAGCCAAGCATGGTAACAAAAAATATTTTTAGCAAAACAAAAAAAATTTAAAATACAGAAAACTAATTAGATGTTTTTGTCATTTTCAGATGTCGCAACTTTGGGCCAACATAATTCATTTAAAATGGGAAGTTCTCTAATCAATTACCCATCCAGCCATCTATATTATATCAGTAACGAATGCAGGAAGTGTCTTTTTGTTAAGGTGTGAAGGTTAGGGACAGCTAGTCTGTTTTAGATCACTCTCAGTGATGTCAGTCTGGGGGACAATAGCTTTGAACAGACTAGCTGAACTAAATCCTACATGGGATTGTTAAGTCTGCAGGTATAAAGCAAGGTTTCTCCTGACGTGGTCCTCCTCCCGAACCAGGTTAGAAAAGTTGGGTCAGTTAGGACAAAGCAGTGTTGAATACTGTATTCTAAGATTTATTGAGCTTTGTTTCAACCACGAGGTTCCCACTGAGATAAATGATCTCTCAGCAATTGAGTCCTGTGGGTCATGCATTATTGGGGACTCTGGAATCGAACTGGCCACCCTCCAGTTGGCAGTCAACTAATCTTTCCTTACGTAACTGGCATGTACAGATCTCTACTCTCCTGTTTACTACCTGCTTTTAAAGTTTTGGCTTTTCTCATTAAAGTGATGTGTAGTTTTTACCAGTAATCTCTGGAAATGTCCATCGAAATCTTGTTGAAAAAGAATTAAAAGATGCCCAGTTGTTGAAAAGTATTGGCGGCTTCATAACATAACCATAAATATTGGGTCTAAAATATATGGGAGCAGGTCTAAGTCTAACTTAGATGCCATTTTCCCTTCTACAGGAGCCTGTGAGGACTAAATACAGTTACTGATCTGTAACAAATGGTTACAAAACCTTCTCTTTCATAAATATTGTTGTTTTACACATTTACCTCTTCACCTGTTGCCAGTGATGAAAGGGAGGGATGTGCTTGTAATTTTGTTGGAGGTTGTGCTTCCAGGGGTTTTTGACCCTAATTGCCATCCGTTGGTAAGGTCTTATTCAAACACAAAAATACAGTTTGCTTGCAATGATTTAGGTACATACTGCCACCTACTGCCATGAAAAAAAAAACACATCATCACCTTAAAGCTTGGTTTATGCTTGACGCGTCAGCGAGGTTCGCATGGCTCCGCGCAGCAAAGTTGCGTCATTTTAACAACCACGCCCCTCCACCGCGCCTCTGCATGGTCCAAACTTTCTGCACCGCGCACCTAGGAAATTTTCTAACCACGCGGACGGTCGGACGCGGAAAAACATGGCGGACTGGCAAGAACTAGTATGGCAGAGGTTCGTAAATACAGACATTTGTATGATTCAGCTCTCAAAGATCACCATGATCAACATGTTAATAATCCTTGGAGAGAAATAGCTCGCACTGTCGGAAAAGACGAGGATGCTGTTAAAAATGCTGAAATGCCATGTTGTAAACAACAGTAATTTTACTTCTACTATGGTGTAGTGTTGGATGCATGCCTTAGAGCTCCATGCTGCCCCCTACAGTTTGGGAGAATATTGACTCACCGCAGAGACAAGCCGCATGAACCATAAACGCTGCAAGTTGTGAAGCGCGTTCCATCCACGAGCCGCATCACCAAGCGGAAAGTAAATGCGTCAAGCATGAACCAAGCATTAGGTATGACTGAACTTTAGGCTACTGATTAGCTTTTAGGTCTTTTTGCTAACATGTAGCGCTGTAAACTAACAGTCACAGAACCAACCCAGTTACCCTGGGCACCTCTCAAAGCCTGGACTAATGCCATCTAAAGAAAAAAAATCAATAGACCATGTTGCACCTGTAGCAGTTCAGCTTTTGTTTCACACCCAGCAAGTCTCCAGAGGAAATCAGAGAATGTGTGGTTTTAGAGGACGAAACATTCCAGCCACAAAGTCAGATGCAAAGAACTGCACTCACTCGGTACCCGGTTGATGGCTCTCAGTGGTCTCAGCACGCGAACCGTCCTCACTGCAGAAAAGCTAACGTTCTGGAGGTTGAGCGAGTACTCCAACATCCTGGAAAACATGGAGAGGAACAATAAAAACATTTGTAAGGCCAGTAGCTACGAGGACAACGCTTGGGAATAAAAACATAAGAGAATGTGAAGCATTCCAACCAATTACCTGCTGATCATTTTGACAAGTTTCCTGGCTCACACCGAGAAAGCAGTAATTATTTTTCAAATATTCAAAACAGCATTTACATCTCTGCATATTCAGATAGTGGCTTTGCATGTGGCCTGGCAGTCAGTGAGCTTTAATTCCAGTGAATGTTTGACAAAAAACAGACTCTGCTTGAGACTATTTATGCATGCATGCAATATTTGTGCAAGATATAAACATGTTCACAAGCATCCTCTCACAATCAACCTTCAAAGGAGCAACTAGCATATGTGGATTCCTTTGGGATGTCAAGAATGTTTGAGTAAGTTGTCGGCATCAGATCGGACCGCCTACCCAGCCTCCCTTCAGAACTTTTTCCCCGTCTCTTTCAAGCCATGATGGGAGGTCAGAAGGACACTGCGAGAGTGGAGACACAGTAGGATCCTTGAGAAAACCTTTTCCTTATTTCTCAACCAGTGTTTACCATCGTGCCGACCTCACACCGGCTTGTGTGTGAGTGCGTGTGCCGAGCAGCTGCTGAGTACATGTGTAGCGAGAGAGAAGCGTGCAGATGAAGGAATTCCCTCCTCATGCTGATTCCAAGTCTGTCTGTCTGACAAATTCACAACACATGTTGGACAGTGCATGTGTGTGAGTGCATCTGTGTGTCACCCACGGTGCAAGAAACTACCCTAACAGACCTGGAATAGGGTGTGTTCCGTTTAAGGTGTTAGTGTATGGGACTATCTAGCTTGTTACTCCAAACCGCTACTAAAACAAAACAACACCTTTTAGTCACAAACACACACCAATACACACAGGCCACAGATGGCTTCAGGTCACAGAGATTGCAAATGGTGAACAATGGTCCACCAGCAGAAGCACAGAGCATTTGGAACAGCACGCCAGCAGTCGTGTCATTTCTTCATCACAAAATGTCAAATGGGAGTCACGCTGTTGTTTTAGGTCTCACTCATGCTGTGTAAACATCATAAAAAGGTTTAAAAACCCTAACCCTAACCAAACAAGACATTAGTCAGTTAATGTAGTCATTATGTGTCATTGTGGCGAGCCCCTTACTGTATGCCAACATTAAAAATGTTTCTTTTATTTTCTTCCCTGCTGGAAAAACAGCATTAACCAGCGTATGTTGTATTGTGGTGCTGGTTTAGCTGGTGGATGGGATCCAGGTCCAGTATGAAAGTCCTGCATCCCGTACTTTTGATTGGATGCTGAACCCGCATACCAGCATCCAAAACACAACATATGCTGGATTGTTTTCAGCAGGGTTCTCTTTCAAGAATTTGAAGGAGTAGAAGAACCATGGTACGCCATTTCACGTGTGTGCATGTATGATTTAAGGAATGATGTCAATTCTTTATTCAGGACAATGCACATTAATAAACAATCAAATACATTGTATCGATCGTAAATGGGCCGGATTATAGCATAGTTGCTAATTTGCATCTGTAGTCCGTCAACAAGATAACTAAGCAAAACAAGTAACACTATACAATTTAAAAACAGTCAGATAGAAACAATCCATTAAAATAGACAAACAAAAAAGAAGAATAACTAAGATGCAAACATGTCTGGGAACCTTTAAGATGTAGTTTGAGGTGCTTTTTAAAGGTGCTATAAGTCATTTTCCTGTAGGGGATCTGAAGGTCTCCTCTAGTGGAGGCTCTAGTACCATCACCTTTGTCTGGTCTTAATTTATGTATGCGGAAAGTGGAGGTGGAGCTAGTTCATTAAGTGCTCTGTAGATTAAACAACTATTTTTGAACTTAAGAAAATTTTTAAAATTAAGCATGTTGTACTTTGCCAGAATATTACAATGGTGAAATGACAAAGGCTTTTGATCCAAGATTTTTATAGACTTTTTGAATAATATTTCTATTGGTTTTAAAAGAGTGTCCCCAGTGAATGACCAGGTTGTGATGCAGTAGTCTATATAAGAAAAATGCAAGAACATTGTAGCTGAAATTGTAGTCACTGAAGATCTAGTTTGTTTAAAGTTATTTATATTGAATTTAATTGTGTTCACTGTATGTTTTATATGTTTTTTAAAGGATCCAGGGTGATTAAAAGGTACTTGAGCTCTTGCACCAGGTCCAGCTCTACCTCCCCCAAGAACACGTTGGACTGCTCCAGATTTATGGATCTTTTTGTGAATATCATTGCAACTGTTTTATTTAATTCAGTAACAAGCATGACTGATGGAGCCAAAGCTGTATGTTCTCCAAGGCTAATGTGAGAATAGATGATGCTTCCTGTGTACTTTTAGCAGGTGTAAAAATAACCGCATCATCCGCATACATTTAGAAGTGTACATTTTTACAGACATTCGGCAGGTCATTTACATATAAAGAAAACAACACTTGTCCTAAGATAGAGCCCTGTGGGACCCCTGCTGGACAGTGAAGGTATGATGACATTGTGTCCCCTACAGACAGTTCTGTTAGACAAGTAAGATTTAAACCAGGCTAATGCATTTTCTGAGAAATTGTAATGAGTCAGTTTGGTCTGAAGCGTTTGATGGTTCACTGTATCGAATGCCTTCTTTAAATACAAAAAGACTGAACCAACACAGGTGGTTTTATCAAGCAAGGATTTCACCGTCTCTACAAAAACACAGTTTGCCGTCTCTGTAGAATGATATTGCCAAAACCCAAACTGCATGGGGTGCAAGAGAAAATGGTTGCTGAGGTGTTTATTCTGTGAGGTGTATCTGCTAGTGAGATTTCTCATAGACCACCAGATGGAATTTCTCTGAAGGAGAGTATTGGATGTACACCTAGACCCTCTTACATCAACCCAGTTCAAGACAGGTACCACAGTTGGCATTGGCAAAAATGGCTAGAACTCTGTTTAACCGGGATTTGTTGTAGTAGTATCTCAGCTAATAATCAAACATACCTCGAGGGCTAATGGGCTCGACACACGGGAGGAGACAAACGACCGCGATCAGCGAAATTTGTCGCCGTCGCTTTTATTACCTGTCACACGGGAGGCGATCCGCGGCAGTGGCCAGCGGCAAAACCGTCTACGCGTTCCGTTCCATGGCGAAATCGAAACTTCCGTTGTTTTGCTTGGCTGTGTCAGGTTGGAGGGAATTAAGGTTATTTAAGCGGTTCAGAGTTAATAAAGTGGTAGATATGATGTTTCACAAGGTGCTGCTAGAGTTATGTGAAATCTTACTTCTGATTTTACTATATAAAACATAATAATCAACTTCTCCTTCATGTTTGCTCGGAGATGTGCGGAGCATCCTGTCCGCTCATTGGTCAGTGAATGAAACCTCCGTTGATTGGTCCTCGTCCGAGCGACAGCGATGAAAAGTTGAAAATGTTTCAACTTTCTGGGATCGCGTCGCTAGGTCATCCGTGCACGGCACGTGCACGAGTGCAAAATTTCACACGCACGTTTTTCGCATTTCGCTTAGTAGGAGAGAGACCCACGATTATCGCTTTGTCGCGCATGTCTCATTGAAAATGAATGGAGGAGAGGCGATGTTGCCTCCCGTGTGTCGAGCCCATAACTGGCTGATGGAATTTCTGTTTAAAACGCCAAAATCTTCTGAGATCAATTGGTTTGTTTGCTAAATAAATGAAGAACATTTGACAGATTTGAATTAACACATCAGAACTTTCATGTAACTGTCATAAAGTAACCTTTAGATGTAAATACAAAATGACAGCCATAACCTATTAACTCAGCCAATAACAAGAATTAAGGAGACAATAATATAGATATTGAGCAACAAAATGGTGTGGTGGTGACTGAGGCCAATCACAGCACGTTCTCAGACCGATTGCACATATATTTTTGTAGCTTTGGGTTTTACCTCTAATGTCTCTAGATTTTCTCTAGTTTATACATCAGCGCATGTAGGTAATGGGGACCAGGAGGGAAACCCAGAAATGGTTTGTCTCTCCAGTGATCTGCTTGAGCTCTGTCTGAGGAATATCCATGTGTTTCAAGGCCAGAGAGTGTATTTAATTCTTCCAGTTGGTCCTGGGTTTTCCCTGGGGGTCTCCTCCCAGTGGGATGTGCCTGGAAAACCTTTAGAAGATGACAGCTAGTAGGTATGCTAATCGGATGCCCTGACCACCTCAACAGACCCCCTTTGATGCAGAAGAGCAGCAGATTTTCTCAGAGCTCCCCTCTGTTATGTTTAAAAGGTTTTGGCCAGCCACCCAAAACAAGCTGATTTGATCTGGTACAAGCAAATGGAAATATCTGTGATCTTAGCTTAGAAAAGGCAGAAATGAATTTGAGATGGCATTCTTTAATGGATTAAGGAATCCTGGCTTTAGATTATGGGTTGGATTTGGGAGTTAACGCTGCTTTCAGTTTTGGTTATTCGATTTATTTAAGGGCTTGACGCCAATGGCCAGAATTCAACAATCTCTCTGAGACTCTTGGCTAACTTCTGTTTGAATTTTGTTGCATGTCACTGTTTTTCAGCCTGATTTTTAACATTGCAGCCGTTTGATCTCCATTTATCACGTGTGCTTTGAGTCTTTTTCTAGGTAACGGACTGTCACTGTAATTTGAAAATCTACAGATATTAATTAATTGTTACTATTGTAAAAATAATAATAATAATAATAAATAATAATATAACAATAACAACAACAATAATAATAATAATAATAATAATAATAATAATAATAATAATAATAATAATATAACAAAAAGAAGATGAACACCAAAATGCCACATTTGTTTATTATAGAGAAGTTTATTTGAAATATTTGACCTGGAAAACCACCAGTTTGTTACTTTTAGATTCTGAATTACATCAGTCATGCCTATGTTGTTATTTTGGCCATTTGAATAAAAATGAGCTTATGTGGACGTACTAGCAACTGAATGATGTGATTGATGCCCAATTGCTGAGTGATCCA